TCTCTTGTAAAGGCTCATGTAAGAGCATGTGGACACATCTGAGCTATAGGAACATCCCAATAAGAGCTCCTGCTGCCTGAGCCCAGGGCTCTTCGCACAAACCAAGAGACAACCAGACAAACAGACAGGCAAAACCTGGGAGGGGAGTGATCCCTGGGTGCTTGTGGGGTGACCACATGCAGGCATGAAATACAGCAAAAGCAATGAGGATGAGATGGGAGCTGCAATGGTACCTCTCTATAAAGCTGCTCCAATGCTTTCTAAAGTGCAATGATGACTTACCCTTCGGTGCAGGCATTCATAGAACCACAGAATCATAGCTCAGAGAATTGTAGAATCATTTGAGTTGGAAGGGACCTCAAAGATCATCTAGTCCAACTCCCCTGCAATGAACAGGGGCATCTACAGCTAGATCAATGCTCAGAGCCTGGCCCATCCACATGGGGAGGCCCCACCTCATATCAGCAGTCACTGGGCCCCACAGCTGCTTGAAGCCATCATCCCCTGCTTTACCAACATGAGATGGAGCACCTTGCTCTGCAGAGCCCAGCCTTCAGAGGATCCTACCACTCACCACACTGTGCTCGGCTCAGAAATGGGCACTGGTGCACCTAAATCAGGTTCTGGAAGTTTCAGCGCTTGCCTTTGACTCGAGAATCTGCTGAAATGCACCCAGGGCAGCAAATCTGGCTGCTGGGAATGGGATTTGGGAAATGGCATCATTGTACACATACTGCCTGGAGAAACACAGCAACACAAAGGAAATGGCACTTCCTTGTGCTGTCATTAAGCAGGATGGGAAATATTATTAAAACCTGCCGGGCAGGTATCATTAATTTGGATTTTTCAAATTCTTTTGATAAAACCTCCCATCAGAGACTATTAAAGCACCTTATTGAAGATTAATGGGGCAAAGTCCCCCTTGGACAACAGAAAACAAAGACGTGGCAAACATCTGCTCCTCGGAGCACAGAGGAGGAAGCACTGAGGCACAGCAGAGAGCACTGCTGACATCATTACGATTTAATGCCGCTTGCATATTAATGAGACGCAGGAAGGAGCGCAGAGAGGCGAGCTGACAGCAGCACCAACTTTGCTTTGTCAAAACAGGGACGTCGGCGAGGCGATGTGTTGTGAAATGTGTTCTCCAACATGAGAAATCCAGTCATCACTACAGGGCTAAAGTTCTCCCATGAAAAAGAAATACATAGCAATTCCCATTCAGATTTGGAGATGGTTTAACACACGAGGCCCCATTTCTGTCAGTGTTAAGTAAATGCATATGTTTCGACAGACGCCCAACCCTGCACAGTAGGAAAAGTCTCCAGCACGTTGAGCTCAGCACAAGCGGGGATCAATCAGCTGATAGAATTTTACCAGCGACGTTACTGCGAAATAGGAGATTTCTGCTGGCGTTTCTTATCCTGGTTTTAATTGGCTCCATTCTCTCATGCTCTTGTGATGCTGCAGTTTCTTATTTACAAACTTTGGATGGGGAGCTTGTATTGTTTCATTTAAATACACTTCGCTTGACATTTAAGGGACGGAAGGGGGAAGAGTTCAAGTGCTGCTCATCTGGCAAGGCACTGCAGAACCAAACCTGAAGCCTCCAGCGATCAGAAGCAATGCTCGGATTTAACTCGTGCAGCACTTGTGCAAAGACATTGGAGCTGCTCCCCGCCCTTGCTCGAGCCATTAAAGGGAAGAGCCTGACCTGCTGCACCTGTACAGCTGAAAAGGTTCCCTGTGCTCGGCTGGCTTTGGTGTGACAGCATCAGACAGCGCCCAGAGCACAGAGGGCTCTTTATCTCCTTTTTTTTTTTCTTTTTTTTTTCTTCTTTTTTTTCTTTGTTTTCTCCACTTTGTTGCACTTCCTCAGGTGTGCAGAGCAGAGTATTCTCATGGCAATGAACCCAACCATTCCAGATTGGGGAATTTCTTCAGTTGTATGCAGAAAAAAAAACCCCACAACCATATTTCAAAGCTGAGGGAGGAGGGGAAACAATCATAGAATCATAGAATGGCTTGGATTGAAAAGGACCACAATGCTCATCCAGTTCCAACCCCCTGCTATGTGCAGGGTCACTAATCACCAGACCAGGCTGCCCAGAGCCACATCCAGCCTGGCCTTGAATGCCTCCAGGGATGGGGCATCCACAGCCTCCTTGGGCAACCTGTTCCAGTGTGTCACCACCCTCTGTGTGAAAAACTTCTTCCTGATATCCTACCTAAACCTCCCCTGTCTCAGTTTAAGACCATTCCCCCTGTCCTATCACTGTCCACCCTTATAAACAGCCATTCCCCCTCCTGCTTATGTGCTCCCTTCAAGAACTGGAAGGCCACAGTGAGGTCTCCCCAAAGCCTTCTCTTCTCCAAGCTAAACAAGCCCAGTTCCCTCAGCCTTTGCTCACAGGAGAGGTGTTCCAGCCCTCTGATCATCTTAGTGCCCTCCTCTGGACCTGCTCCAAGAGCTCCATGTCCTTCTTGTGCTGGGGGCCCCGGCCTGGACACAGAACTCCAGATGGGGCCTCACAAGAGCTGAGTAAAGTTCATTCAATTGTTTCTTGTTTAATCCCAGGAAACCATTATTTAAATCTAGGAGAATGCTACATAGGCAATTTTGGTGTGCAGGAGGCTGCTGTTTCCATCCTTTCCATGCACATCACCTCTGTTAGCAAAACCCCACACTTCCCCCTCCTCACTTGTGCAGAACCCTGGGTCTGCTGCTTGCACCTCCTCTCTTCTTTTTGGCTTTTGCTTACGCCACGGGGAGGGTATTTCCATCCCATACACATGGGATGGTGTCACCGCATCTTTCCACCTCAAATTCCTCCTGGAATTTTGATGTATTCAGGTTTCCCTTTGGTTCTTGTGCCACAATGAAATCTCAGTCCAGCCCCATAATATATCCCGAGTTGGAAGGGACCCATAACGATCACTGAGTCCAACTCCTGAATCCAAACAATACCACCCCAAATCCAAACCCAGTGTGAGTTGGCCAAACATCCCTTGAACTCAGGCAGCTCAGAGCCATGCGCACTGCCCTGGGCAGCCTATCCCATGCCCACTGCCCTCAGGTGCAGAGCCTTTCCCCAGTGGTTCAATTCCCATTGTGCTGCCCCAAAAGAGGAGGAGGAAGAGGAGGGATGGGAGGAATGTGGGCTCAGCCTCCTTGTGAGGACCGAGGCCACCATGGCCTTGGACATCCAATGACAACATTGGGTCGATGTTCTTCAGCTCCCTGTGAGCAGCCATCTGTGCATGGAATACATCAGAGAGGAGTACAGGAAAACCCGAAAAAATCAATTAAGTGCACAATCACTGACCTCCTGAAGGAGCTCAGCTCGTGGTGCTCAGCTCCACGCTCGTGGGGCTCTGCAGATAAAAAGAGTAATTAAAAACAAGGCGAGAAATGCACCATTTTCCTTTTCCTTCCCTCTCCGCTTCTTTCTAAGCAGGAGTTTGTCAAAGGCGGCTGCACAAAAGGCAGTCTTTGAATGAACAGGCAATTACTTAATTAGGGACTTAATTGCAAATTGCAAGAAGCTAGCTGCCTTTTTTTTTTTTTTTTTTTTTTTTTCTCCTTAATAATTTATTCTGCAATGTAAAATGAGGCCCTATGCAACCCATAGTAAGGGAGCACCCGCTGCTGATCAAAACTTGTCTGGCATCCAAAGTGAGATGGATTTTAAGGGAAAACCACTTGAGTTTGGCATCATATTGGTTGGGAAGAGGGACTTGATCAGCACAGAAACCCTTCCAGGTGGGAAAACAAACGGAATCAGCTCCAGTATGGAGAACGCTGGAACCTTACCAGATGTCTCCCGGCCCAGCCCACTCTCTCAGAGCTCTTGCTTGATCCAACTTCAACTTATTGTGTGGTTATGCAGCACAGCAACTCCAAACATGCAGGGCTGTGCAGCTTCCTTGGTCGGCGCTCCCACTCAGAACATCTCTGAGTCCACTTTGCACCATTTAGGTGAAATGCTTGACCTGCGCAGCACAGTGCTGACTTTTCACCTGCATGATATACAATGGGGGGATCTCTCCTGGTAAAAATGGGCAGGATCGCAAGCACTCCCCTTGCAAAAATTGGGCCAGAACACATACCCCTCCCACCCCCCCTTGCAAAAACGACGCTGGATTCCATGCACCCTTCTTGCAAAAATCGAGCAGCACTGTATGCATTCTCCCTTAGGAGAAATTGGGTCCACTGCACGTATTTCCTTTGCAAAAACAGGACTGCGTGCTGGACTGCATGCACCCTCCTTGCAAAAACTGGGTTTTTGTCAGGACCTCCCTGACAAGAAGTGGGTTGCATTGCATTACATTGCACTGCATTGCACTGCACTGCACTGCGCGCCCCGCACCCGACAAGCAAACCCCGCACCGCGGCACAAGCGCGCCCACCCGCGTGGAGCAGCACGCATGCGCGGGAAGGCTGCGCGGGAAGGTTGGGGGGGGGGGAGAAGGGGGCGGGAAGCGGGGAGGAGGGGGGCGCGGCGTGCGCGCGGCCGCGGGGAGGCGCGCGCGGAGGGCGTTGCGCGTGGAGGTTGGGGGGGGGGGCGGTTTAACCCCCCCCTGCCCGGCGGCGGCGGCATTTCTATTCAGGCGGCGCTGAGGGAGCCCGGCGCGCCCAGTGCATTGTGGGACTGGGCCGGGAGTCCCGTTCGCGGGAGGAGGTGGAGGGCGAGGAGGAGGAGAGCCGGTAAGAGGGAGACCTGGGGAGGGAGGGAAGGAGTGAGGGAGAAGGGGGGAGGGGGGGGGGGGGCGAGGCGGGGAGATTTAAAGGGGAATTCGCCTCCGCCGTCGCGGCGCCGCACGGCCGGGCCCCGAGGTGCGCGCTAAGGCCGCTGGGCCCCGCGCCTTCCCTCAACCCCTGAGGGGGGACGGAGCGGCGGCGGTGATGTTACGAGCGGCCCCTCGGAGCTCCGGCACCGGACGGGTTAAATTTTTCACCCGCCGACATTTTTATTTCCCTCGCACTCCCCCCCCCCCCCTCCTGCTTTGCCTCGCCGCGGCCGTTGGGGCGCGCGCACGGCGCTGTGTGAGGCGCGCTCCCGAGGGGGCCGAACGGAGCGGCGGGCGCGACTTCTCATCCTCCTCTTCTTCCTACCGCACAAAGAAGAGCCCCGTCCGGCCGCCGGTCCCCGAGCCATGTCCCTCCGCAGCGCTCGGCCTCGCGGTGCCCACGCCGCTGGGAGCCGCCCGGCTCCGGCTCCTTTCGGTGCCTGGCGCCCGCTCAGCGGTAGGTACGCGGCGCTTTGCTCGTTCCGCTCTGTAGGGAGGCGAGGGTTGACGAGGGTGACAATGGAGGTCCCTTCCAACCCGAGCAGTTGTGTGAGTGCTGAGGAGCAGGAGGGCTGCACGAGGAGCTCGGTCCCGCGGGAATCGCTCCGTGTTCCGTGTGGCTTTCCGCAGGTCTTTAATAAAAAGTTACCGTGGATGCTTTCAATAAACTCGGCTCGGCTCTTTCACTCTCTGCTTGCAGACTCGGGTTGCGTCTCGCAGATTTGCCTGGAGTTCCTGGTGGGCTGTGAGTGTTTAGGCCGCGCCTCAGTGCTGTGCTCACGTTTGGGTTCCTCACAGTGGGAAAGGCACTGAGGGACTGGGGTGTGTCCGGAGAAAGGCAATGAAGCTGTGAGGGGTCTGGAGCACAAATGTGATGAGGAGCGGCTGAGGGAACTGGGATTGTTTATCTGGAGGAGGCTCAAGGGAGACCTTACTACTCTCTGTAACTGCCTGGCGGGGGGGGGGGTTGGCCTCTGCTCCCAGGTAACAGCAATATGATGAGAGGGAATGGCCTTATGTTGCACCAGAGGAGGTTCCGGTTGGATATTAGGAAGCTTTCTTCTCAGAAAGAGTGGTGATGCATTGGAACAGGCTGCCCAGGGAGGTGGTGGAGTCACTGTTGCTGGAGATGTTCAAGGAAAGGGTAGAAGTGACACAGAGGAACATGGTTAATAGGCATGGTGGGGGTGGGCAGGTGGTTGAGCTAGATGGTCTTAGTGGTCTTTCAAACCTTATGTTACTGTTTCCCTGTGTAAGTGGGCAGGGGTTGCTGAGCACAGAAATGTAGGGGAAAGGGTTCCTGTGGGATGATGCATACATTGCTGCTGCTTGTACCCTGCTGGAGTTTATTGGAATGGAGTGTTTAAAAACAAACAAACAAAAAAAGGCCGTGCAACCCAACTCTACTTGAAAAGCCCTTGTTTCTGCTTTCTGTTGTTTTCCAGCTTTTTTTTTTTTTTTTTTTTTTTTTTTTATTGCAAGTGCTCGGTGCCTCATGCTGCTGCCTTCCAATTATGAGCTGAACTCATTGCTCTTCCAAGACACGTCCGGGTAACTGAGTTTGGATCCCAGCCGAGCTCAGGCTGTGGGATTTGTTGTAACGAAGCAAAACGCCTCTCAGAGAAGGAGGGAAAACCCTATGCAGGGCTCCAGACCTAAAACTGACAAAATATATTCTGCAAAGTAGTAGACTTCAAGATATATGTCACTGATATAATCAGTAATAAGTGGTGGATAGGGTGGACGGGTTACACAGCCAGCAGGTTTACTTCTTACTTTTAGTGCTGCTGAACTCACTGTTACTGCTGTCAGTTTTTCCTTTTCAGCTGAAGCTCCAAACAGTACAATCGTCTCTCTGAGATATCGTCTCTCTTCCTTTTGCTGTTGTGAGGCAGGATCTTTGCTTTCTAGGAAACCACAGCATACAGGTTGCTTGTAGAGATTCTTGAAAGCTTTTTCTCCAGGGCAGATGGATAGTGTTGTATGTTATCCGTTCCTGTTTAGAAGTCAGCCTTTCAGTTAGGCCTCTATTAGTTTTGGACTGTGTTGCATGTGAGTCAGAGTGGAAAAACGTTCTAAAATTAGATGTGCATTGTTAAGAATTTTATTAAATGAGTTGCATCATTTTTTCTTTTTGCATTACCATTCTAATGGCCAAATCTCTGTGTGTTCTCAGTATCCTTGGATAACTAAGAAAGGGCTGGAGGGGCCAGGAAGATTTCAGTGTTCTTATGTCTGTAGGCATGCTGAAAGGTAAACTGGATGTTTGTAGGTAAAGCAAGCTGATTACATACAGCTTTGTTCCTCTGCTACCTGTACTGACGTAACACCAGGGCTGTTTTCCCCCAAGGAGAACAGGTATATTATGGAGTTTCAGCTTCTTACATCAGAACTGAAGCTGAGCCGTTATTTGAAAAGTCTTACTTACGTGATTAATACATGAATGGCTGAAAGTACAACCCTGCTCTGTGTTGAGTGCAAATAGATGTCTCTGCTGAGCGTGTTGCAGTATGAGGGCCTATTTTTCTTTTTGGAAATTGACTCCAGTGCTCTGGGAACTGTCATTTCTTGCACTTTTCTCTTTTTAACTCGCTCTATGTGGGAAAACCCGTTGTACTGCAGGCCTTAGGACTTTCTAATGTTCCCAATTTTTTCAATTAGACTGATCAGCAGGGAGACCAACACCATTGTTCTGGGGAGGGAAAGGCCAGCACTCTGTGGGAGAGAACCATGTCTGTTCGAGAGACATTTAACCCAGAGAGCTACGAACTGGACAAGAGCTTCCGCTTGACCCGCTTCACGGAGCTGAAGGGCACAGGCTGCAAAGTGCCTCAGGATGTCTTACAGAAGCTGCTCGAATCTCTACAAGAAAACCATTTTCAGGAAGATGAACAGTTCCTGGGGGCAGTCATGCCCAGGCTGGGTAAGTAGTTGCTCCTCTAGTTGCGTGTGATCCTGTCTGCGTATTTGTTTAATGTTTGAGAATTGTACGTTGCGTAATGCATGCTCATCGCTCAGAAATCTGAAGAGTAATCTGGTTGGCATCGAGGACACGAGAACAGTATTGTTTAACGTCCTGTGGTGCACTCAGTTATGAACAAAAAATGGTCAGGGATGGCCAGAGCAACAGGGATGTGCTTGGGAATTGGTCTCCTCCTCCCTCTTCCTGGTAGACGCTTTCCAAGCTGAAATAGTATCAGTTAACATCCAGAACATTAAAGTAGTACACTGTGCTCTTAAACCTGTGCGTTGAATAGACCTTAGTTGACTTAAAGGTGAAATTCCCTTCTCCCTTCCCCTCATTCCTGGGGCAGAGAACATGAGGGACTGGGAGCGGATTGTTTCACAGCTGTGATTTTTTTCCTTTCAGTCCTCTCGTTGTACCCCACTCTTAACTTTTGCTCACCTGTAGAAGCTGCCTGGGAAGGGCTCTTTCCAAGATCTGTGTTCTTGCCAGCTTCACTTTCTCTTTGGTATTGCACAGTGATGCAAGCAATAAGGGAAAACAACCTGCACAAGCTACCTACGTGGGGAACAGGGCAAACGTAGGTATTTTGATACCAGCTACTGTACCTAACATTGATATAGAGAAATGAATGTATGTAACGTGTTTAATGGCATTTTGTGTTCTGTTTGCCTATTTACTCAGCACTGTGTGGTCGATCTCCACTTCGCAACGCAGAATGGATTTTTTCATCAACTTAGGAATATCAGTGTAGTATTTATTCTGCAGTTATTTAATTATCAGTTTAGTATTCAACAGCATTATTTGAAATTATTTTAATATGACCTGTTAGCAGAGTAGCAGGTTGCAAGCCATTATTCCAGTATTGAATTCAACAGGAGATCGTAAGGAGCCCTTACTTAGACAATGGCAATCTTTGTATGAAATAAATAAGCAGTAATTGTGTGTCAAACTGGGATGGCACTACAATTTAATATTGCCTAATGAGGGACACTTACTGTTAGTTTTATTCTTAAATTGCTGTTTATGTGTGTTCTCTCTAAATTAAATGTTACTCGCAGCAACATTTCATTTTGGCAAGTTTCTAATTTCGGTAATAGTTTGGTTTAATTTTGTAGCTTTTTTGCCTTATAAGCTTACAGGCTGTAACCAGTAATGGGATTACTGATAGATTTTGCTTGTCCAGATGTATGGAAAGGTAAAAAGCAGACAAATGCCATCAATACACAGGTGTGTTATTATGTAACAGGAAATCTCTTGGTACTGGAAGGTGGAGAAAGCAGATGTCTTAAATATGCACTTTCAGTGAGAGAATCTCTTTAAGAAGTTTGTCCTTAGATAAGTTAGGTGTTAATTGCCTTTAATGCCTTTTGCTTAAAAGGGATAGGCAGGTAACTTTACAGCCTTTGTGGTATGCACAGTTCTTTTGAGATACAGTCAAAAGGGAAATTACCTCTTAGGGGCTCAGCATCCCTCACTTTTACAGGTGGTGTTACCCAGAGCAGTCTTGTGCCTGTGAGTGTATCCATCAGTAAGAAACTGCAGGTTTGGTAGGAATTCCCTGAGCTGTTGCAGACCTTCAGGTCACTGTTTTCAGTCACCTCTTTAAACAGCTGCTTATATATCAGCCCTCTTTGTTGGTTTTTTTGTTTGTTTGGGTTTTCTTGCGTGGAAGTAAATGTAGCCTCAGAAAGCCCATGGTGCCTGAGTGTCAGAAACAGCGCAGAGTCAGTCCTGCAATGTTATGGCATGAAAAGGTGAGCTGAGGGCTCTGTGTGTGAGCCAGTCCTCTTTATCAGTTTATATGTGCTTCTCTGGAGAGGCTGAGCATCATGCATAGCAGCTTGCTGGCTTAAGCAGAGGATGGAGAGCCCTAAATGACTGCTTCTGAGTATCTCTTCTTTTCTGAGGCAAGGCCTTGTGTCTCTGTAGCTTTCTGCCTCTGCAGCCTCTGCATTCTGCTCTGTCCTCAGCAGGAGCTCAGATGACAGCGGCTCACTGTTCCTGGCAAGGACTGCCAAATGCTTGTAGCTCTGGATAGGAGTGTTTGTACCTGGAGGAAAGTTGCTGTGTGACATCTGCTCCCTGAAGAGTGCTTGTTTTGAGAAGCCCTGCCCTGTTGGGTATACAAAGCGGTGCCGGGCACCTTGCTGTCAGCCTAGGAAGGAGGCAGGCTTCCTGCTGCTGCCTCTAGGCTGGAGATAATCGATGGGGGCATGGGCAGCTAGTGTGCTTTACTGTGTGACCTGCCACTTTTGTACATGCTTCTGCATCACAGCGAATGCCTGGAGGTTTTAATATTGCTTATTCTGTTTGAGTGTCCACAGTTAGAGAAGGCTGCATTTGTGGTATTGCTGTTCTCCCAAGTGTTTCCCTGTCTGGCAGATGAGCTTGCTGCCTTTCATCCTCCCAGAAGTAAGGTGAGGGTACGCTGTTGCAGGATTTCTCCAAGTAGGTGAATCCTTTTTGGACCAAGGGCCTCAGCTGTGATCTGTGGTGCTTTCTGTTTCACCTGAAGTGAGGTAGTGCTCTGTATGAGAGACTGTACCCTTTTAAAACCGTCACCTTGTTTTTGTTGAGTTAGGAGTGACAGGAAACCCTGTTTACTTTTGTCAACACTGATTTATGGAGTTCCTCTTCACTTTTAACATACATACAAGCGCAGACATTCTTGAAAGGAGTGCACTGCACTCCTGTTACTGTAGTTACTGTAGTTACTGTACTGCAATAAACTGAAAAATGTTGTAGTTTCGTTCTTGCTTTTAGCTATTTACACCTCTGCTCTGTTCTGGTCAGGAGTTCTCATTCTTTGCCTGTTCTTCCTCGCTTGTGTGATGCCCTTTCCCAAGGAAGGGGTTTGTTGCCTTTACCCAGGCAGTACTGAGGGCTGTATTTCCCAGCAGTGTTCTGTAAGGTCTCTTGTAAGGACCAACAGACAACTGAGGATAAAGTTGCTCACCTCAGTGATGGATTTCTCTCTTTGCAGGAATTGGGATGGACACTTGTGTTATTCCATTAAGACATGGAGGTTTGTCGTTGGTTCAGACAACAGATTATATTTATCCTATTGTGGATGATCCTTATATGATGGTAAGTTGGCTAAATTGAACTGTTAGTTAAATATATTGTTGATTTGGTTTGATCTCACCAATCTGATGGCAGTTTTGACCTTTTTTTCCTAGATGTGCAGCAGTAACTGTTTGATAACTGTGTTCAGGGTCTTTCCCAAATGCAAGTGAAAAGGGAAGGGTGATGTTTGATCCTGCAGTCCTTTCCATGGCAGCCACAAATACTGCAGAACTTTTGCTGTAGATGAAAGCTGAATTTAAATTTTCCTCTGTCTCTTCTGTGAGATTTGGCTTGAAAAAGCCCTAAAAGGGAGCTACAAAGCAGCAGACAGGAAGCTCCACTTAGGAGAACCATACAGTAGTTTGCCTTTTTTGAGGTTCTGAAATAACCAGGTAACATGTTACAACTAGAAAAGCTGAAATGACAGGAGTTGGTAATAGCACCTGGCAACTTCAGAGTGCTTTGTGAACTTTGGTTTTCCTATCTCAAGCATTGACTTGAACAGAAGATAGTGAGAAAACAAGTATGTTTGAAAAGGCCCTCGTAGTGCTGTAAGGAGCTCTCCAACAAGTGTTCACTAAATGGAAGTTAAGAGATGTGTCTCCTGTAATTGGAATTTGATTGTTTGCACTAGGCAGTGCTTTTACTGTTTATATGATTGCATGCTCTTTTGTTGTTTTGTTGGTCGTTCTTTGAGAGCTGCTCAGCAGGTTTGAACCATGCTGAGAAACTTTTCTCACCTTGCAACAAAAATTAATAAGGGGTGGCATGAGAAGGTTGTGGTGAATGGCATCAGGGATACAAAGGGATTATTGAGGTGCTGCAGTAGGGAAACGTGGGTCTGTGTACAGATGAGGTTTAGGCCAGTGTGATAAGAGTGGAATGTAAATTTGGCCTTAGTCCAGCTTCTGTGATTGCATGTTAGTCAGTCTGCACTGTGATCCACAGGCACCATCAGCTATAACTTCAGCGTTTCGTAACTCTCAAGTCCTTCATTTTCTTTCTTTTCAATGTTAATTTCACTCCAATGGCTTTTTTCTTTTGTAGACCAATGTGATTTGAAGGAGAGGCAAATACAACTCTCCATAAAACCCTTAGACTCAGGAATCCTGGTTTGTGACCTGGCTTCATAAAGCAGTGTGCTCTGGACACATCTGTGCTTTTCAGGACAGCTGCTGCTGCCTTGCCAATTCCTACTTTCCCTCTTGCTAGCCTAGATCCTTCCTGACCCCTTTTCTTCAGCTCTGTTTTTGAGAACACCTGATGTGTGTTATCTGAATTATCGCTAGAATGTATGGCTGTAAAATTTGTATCTACCATGGGGCTTTTCAGTTTACGTGATCTGGGAAAGTTGGAAACCAGGCTTAGTGGTATAAAGATTCCGGTAGTAGAACTGGTACTGGCCCCTCTTTGTGGCCTTTTGGAATACAGGAGCAGGGAACTGGCTGGTCTTCTCTCTTACAGGGAACTTTTTGGCGCTCTTTTAAGAATCTTCACTGAACACTGAGGACAGGGGGCTGATATTCCATCTTTTGCCTGTATAGTTTATACAATTACCAGTGGATTCTTGTGTTTCAGTGAGTCATGTCTTAGGTGATGTTTGGGGCACAGCTAGGCTGACCCATCTGTGAATCCCATTACTTCTATTGACATTCATAAGCCACATTTTGTTCCCTCTGCTGCTTGGGACTCGTTGCTTGCACTCTCCAAGTCCATTCCCTTAATGGCATTGCCAACTGGCAAAAGCAGCACTGTGCTGACCTTGGACTGCTAGAATAGGGAGCTGTTGTCACTGTGAGTTTAGGAACTTATCTGTCATTCCTTAAGAGGGTGTAAACCAGCAGTTGGTTTGATAAATACTGAAAATAGTGAAGGATGATTGAATAGTCCCCTTCCAGAAAAGGAAAGTGACAGGCTGTGGTATTGGTAAACATCCAGAAGCGTAACAGCAAATAGCCATCTAACTCTGTGGTCCCTTGCTCATTCTTCTCTTCATAGTCTGAGATATAAATTAAAACGTATTCTGATTTCTAAATACACAAGGGAGTCCCTCAATGCCAATGGAAGCTCTTGAATTTATGAAAAACTTGATTATATTCAGTTGTGATTTGGAGGTGTTATTTCATGTCATCAGAAAGTAAAGCAACTGCCTGCTAATACTAATTATTGCAAAGAACTCTGAACGTGTGATTAGATTTTAGTGTCCTGGAGATGGTAGAAATGTGTTTAAATGTCTTTCTTCTTTTTCTCCCTCTGCCCCATAAATCTGTCTGCAACTAAAGCATATTTCTGTAGTCCAAATGGTGTTGAATAAGCACATTGCTTTTATCATGATGACATCGCCTCTGAACTTTATGAAAAACACAGGTTTAAGATCATAGAACCAGATGTCAAGTACAGTTTTGCAGCTTTTTAAACAAAATGCACGGAGTCTTCCAGATTGACAAAACAGAATTTGTGTTTTAAAATCATTTCCCATCCCTAAAGACATATCCTGTGTTGGGAAGTTACATCTTCGTCAGGACACTTGATGTCTCATTTTTAGTGGCTTTACACTGAACAAAACCTGACTTGCTGAGAAACTCAGATCCATTAATTTAGCAAAATTGGAGTAGTTAAGGTCATTACCCAGGTGAACCCTTCTGAGTCCTGTCAGTGTCAGGATTTATTAGAGCAACCTTTGAAAGAAGACGAGGCCTCTTGAACAAAGTTTTGTTAGTGTTGTGTGCTCACACAGAAATTAATACAAACGTATTTGCTGTAGCAAAATTCAGCATTATCCTGTTATTTGAAAAAGGGACAGAGAAGGGACGTCTCTCGCACCATACAAGTGATGGGGCACAGACAGGTGCATCACCTCAGCAGCTGTGTGTGCTCCTAAGTGGTGTCAGGGCCACTGATGGCAGACCTGAACATGTGTGCCTTCTGCAGGCAGCTCATTAGTGACATCCTAACAGGAAAAGCACCTGAGAAGCAAGCTGTGTCCTCTGGAAGGAAGAGTACTGTCCTGAAAACTGGAGAGTAAGCGTGGCTTCAGGGGTGGTGCAGGGGAACAAACAGCTTTCTCATCCACATCCCCATCTCCTAGTTACTCCAATCCAGAAGCAACTAATTTTCACTTGTCAGATTAGCTTCCTTGCAGCTGTAAATAAATGCACCGTAACAGCTGGGATGAGTTCTGACCTTACCTGTCAAAGGAGCTGCCATCTGCATTTTTAGATGGATGCTTTGCATGTGATGGATCGTGCCATGTCTGTGGATGCATTTCAGGAGCTGAGCAACCTGTAGAATAAGCAGCTGTCTGAATCAAAACTCATGCAAAGAAACTTGTTTATTTTTTTTGTGGCAGGTGTTTGTCTGAACTTATGCAGATTTTTTTTCTTTCTTTCTTTCTCCTTTCTTTTTCAGGGACGGATAGCATGTGCCAATGTCTTAAGTGACCTTTATGCCATGGGGGTCACAGAATGCGACAACATGTTGATGCTCCTTGGAGTCAGCAATAAAATGACAGACAGGGTAAGATTTGGGGTATCTGCTTCTGAAGAAGGACCCAAACAACTATACATACTTAGAATGTATGCAGCTTTAGTGTTTTCTCCTCAAACTTTGAATCTTTTTAAAGAAGAGATGGTTCAGTCACTTCCTCAGTTCGAAGTGCAAGTCTTGCCTCATAAACTCTGAGATTATTTGCTAAAACTTCAGTTTTCTGTGGCTCTGTAATCTGCTGCTGTTTTGTGATCCCCACAGAAACGGAGTTTCTGCTCCTGTTGACTGTGCTTCAAGGCAGGAATTGATTACCAGTTGATGTATTAATTTGGATAGGTACTTTTGGTTTCCTTGTGCCAGCTTTGTAGCATCTTTTTGAAGCAGAAGAAACTGAACTAGGTTCTCTTTTTCTTAATTTTGTTTCTTTTTGATGGCAGTTACCAGCACGTTTGATTCCTTGCTCTAGCAAAAAAAGGATTGTTCATTCTTAGAAGAAACTAACTTGAAATTTTACAGGTTTAGTGGAGGTCAAATACAGCTTGATTTAACTTTGCTTTATTGCACTACACTGCTAGGCTGTACTTGATTACAATAGCAGAGTAGTTGTTCTGAGTTTGCAGAACTCTCTGAATTCTCTACTTTTATGTGACCTTTTGGAGAATGTTTCTTCAGCATTTTACAAGGAAATGTAAAACCATGGCTTTATGGGATAACATGTGGTTTCTGCAGGCTGACTTCTTCCCAAGGCTGGCTTTTCTGTCATTAGCTTTTCGCCATGAGGGGATTTGACTTGAGTGATTAAAGCCGTAGACCAGTCTTGAAATGACAAGCATTGCTGTGTATGGAACTCTGACTTCTGTTTTGATCTCTAGGAAAGAGACAAAGTGATGCCTCTAATTATCCAGGGTTTCAAAGATGCAGCAGAAGAGGCAGGAACATCTGTTACTGGTGGCCAAACTGTGTTAAATCCCTGGATTGTTTTAGGAGGAGTGGCCACAACAGTCTGTCAGCCTAATGAATTTATAATGTAAGTTAAATCATTCAACAATCAAAGGCATTGGTCTGATGGGATACAGTGAAAATCCTTTAAATGCCATGCTGTGATCTGTCTCCTATTGAGTAAAGCAGTCCCTTCTCCTGCCTGCATTTGTCCTTAGCACTGAGCAGATGCCACGTCTCTTCTGTCTGTTATTTGCTTTTTTTTAAGCAGCATGTGCTTTTACTTTTCCCCTGCTATCTTTTGGTCTTATTCTCCTTGTGACAGGACAGTTAAGCTTCTTACCTGTACATGTCTTGAAGGCAGTTGTGGGATATAAATTTCTGTCAGAGTGTAAGATGCATGTATAAATACCTCCCAATTAACCTGCTAATTGCTGCAGAGATCTGGAGAATTGCTGTGCTTACATCATTCTGGCTGATTAACAGTAGCTGGTCTTGAATGTCCCACTGTGGCATGCTGCACTGTACAAATAAATTCATTTGTGATCCTAGTGATGCTTACTTTATGTCCTGAGGAAGCAAAATTGTTTTTTTTTTTCCTCCACTGTTCTGTACTGTATCTTCAGTACATTGAAAGAAAAGGTGTAATTTTGTGTTTGTCTGATTGCCAGTTTTGTTCTATTCCAAGAAAGAAGGATTAGTACTTTTAAGTAAGTTTGCAGTGTTTTTGCTCAGTGATACCCCTTGGCAATGAATCCCAAAGGGAAATTCAGCAATTAGTCTTTTTTTTTGAATCTGCACAATAAGATACATGGGTCTGTGAAAATCTAATTATCAGCACTTATTCCTAATAACATGTGACTCTCACTCTGTAATTAATATATGAATTCTTTGCTTTCAGGCCAGACAATGCAGTGCCAGGAGATGTGCTTGTATTAACTAAACCCTTGGGAACACAAGTGGCTGTAGCCGTCCACCAGTGGCTAGATATTGTGAGTACACTGCCAAAAACAAAATAGGAAAAAGAGGCAGGAGGTGAAGGTGACCTTCCCCATTCCCTCAAAACCTTGGAATGAAAAACTGCAGCGTTTACTTTTCAGTATGAAGAGTATATTGAGTGCTCAGCCAGGAATGATATAGAAATTAATTCCTCTTCTTCCTCCTTGTTATGTCAGCCTTATCTTCTTACATGCAAGGTTCTTTTGGAACCGAGACAGCTTACCATTTTTAGTGAGTTTACTGAGCCTATCTTAATTGGGTCTAATTCTTAGTTACTTCTCAGACATTGCAGTTATAAACAGAGTTGGTGACTAACAGTGCAACAGACTGGCACCCTGGGTGAAATTATGCCCTATTCCACATGCCCAAATAGTTGGCAAAAGCTGGTTGGTGTCAGTTAGGCCCTGTCTGGATTCATAGACTTTCTGCTTGTGTACGTGGAAATATCTCTACCTTTCACATGTGTCACCCTGTGCATTCACTAGGAATAATAGTAGCTGCATTATGTATGCAGACGTATTTCCATCTGTTACTTCGGGCAAGAATGTAACTATTGAACTGAAATGTGACTGCAAAATTGGCATCTGCTTATGTTGTCTGGCTCCCAGTGTATGTCTTCAGAATTATAGCTGCTCAGTTTTTGTTTTTAAAAAATGCCTCTTTTCTGCTTTGGGGACTACTGAGCCAATAGACAGGCAGAGGAGTGAGCTGAAATTGATTTAGTCTGGATTTTAATTCCAAAGCTTGTGTTAGCAAAAGTGGGAGAGAACCAGCTTCAACCTTTGCTGGAATCTGAAGTGTGAGCAACCAGACAAATAATGTTTCCCCTAAAATGGACAGGGTAAGGCCCAGATTTTTTGGCCTCTGCAGAATCCTGCATTTTCCAGACAGATACAAGGATCAAGGCCTCAGATAATCTTGATAGGAAAATCGAATGAAGAAAGACACATGTTTTATAGCCTGTTTTCTGGCCATAATCTCATTCTTCTACATATCTATTATTTTACTGACAAACAGACTTGCAAATTAACAGCATTCTGAATTTCCACATATTTCAAGTACTTGTAATTTCCTTGACTGTCAACCAAAACCACTTTCTGGTCTGAAAAATGGGGACAGAAGGAAATCAGTTCTCTTATTACAGTAAACAGCATATATCTTTGCTTGTGGTGAGAAATTTCTGAGTATCAGTGCTGCCCTTTCTTTAGCTTTGTCTTGTGAAAGAGGAAGGAAAATAGAACTAGACTTACCCATCTCAAACCCAGCTGTAAATCAGGCTTCAGCATGGAGTTTGACTTTGTATTGAAAAGTATGTGGGAGAGCGAACATAGTACAGCAAGCTTATGCCTGGGCCAGGGAGGAAGGGAAGGTGTGGAGATACGTGACTGCAAAACAAGTTTGGAGGAGAAGAAATGAAAAAATACAGAGCAGTTGTGAGTGAGTTCCTGGTGACTTGTTAAAGGATGATTTGTGGCAACAACCATGCAATAGTTGCTTTAATGAAAGCGTGATCCAAAAAAGGACAAATTTTTTTCCCTCTGTGTTTGGTTACTGGCAGCATTGCTGCAATCAAGGCCCAGATATGTTGCTGGCAACAGCTGTGGTGGGATGCAAAGGAAAGAAGCTGTAAAGAGGCTGCAGGGAGCTGGGCTCTGTAGGGGAACGCGGTCAGGGATGTGCTGGAGGTGATGAAGCTGTGTGAATTTGGCTACCAAGTTGTGCAGTGATTAGTCAGCAGCGGGGAACTGGCAGCCCTTTGTCTCTTTCTCTTTTAGCTCAAAAGCATGAAAGGCTTCCATCTGCCTTTCCAGGAAGGCTTTGCTAGTCTCTGCTATGACAGATCTCTGAAGGGGAAGGGTCTGTCTAAATTTGCCTTCTGAAGTTTTTTGGGCGAACAGTTTGGCTTTGTTTCCTGTCTGCTGATCCCATTGTGCCGGTATCTGATGGTATGATGTCACAGTGGGAGTAATTTGTGTCTAATTTGCAGCCTGCCTGTGTTTGTGGCCCTGTCAGCCTGTAGTCCTGCTTTCACCACATTTGTGATTGCCACTCTTACTTGTTTCCATTCCATGATCAGCCTCAAAAACATACTTTGAAAACTAATATAAAATGGCTGTATTTTTCAGTCATAACAGAAGTAAGGATAACCTTAATCCTGTCCTGTGTGTAACAGTAATGCTTTTCTTATTTACTTGGTCAAACCAAGTTCAACCTAATTTCAGAAATCCTGATCTTACTTCTGTACTTCCTTGGCCTTTAAAAAAAAAAAAGATTTGTTTTGGTTGACCAGCCTCTTTCCCTTCTTTCCATTTCTGAGTTCCTTCTTACACCACTGGAAGTCAGTTCTCATTTGTTAAGGATAAGATCCTCTTTGACAAGCCTCTTGATGCCAGTGCAGCATCATACAACAATTCTCAGCAGTTTTTCCACCTGTGGTAGTAAGAAATTTTGTATGCATTTATGCTTTGCAATAGCAGTGTAGGCTTTGTAGGTCTAAAAATTTTCTTAGTTCAGTTCTCTGTAATTTTGTTTTATTTGCAAAAGGAAGAAAATTAAACTAGTGTACAGTGTTGATCTAAACAGTTAAATGGTTGCTTTGTTTCCTTCTGGATCTGGAATTACTTCAGCTTTGAAGAAAACAATTGCTCTTTATAAGGTACCATTTCCTAAATTATCATGAGAGCCTTTTGGGATGAAAAGTGTTGCTTAGCATGTGATGAAGGCATGAATCCATGTGGGATTTGGGAAGGGGTGGAAGGATGTGTTGATATTAAATTGTAAATAGATTTTATGAAACTGTCTTAATCCTAATTCACTGGAGTGATTACATCCTGCCACAGTGTACATCCTTGAGAGCTAGACTTCTGGATATCAGTGGCCTTTCCTGATCAGAGGGTCCAGATGTGAAATGAAGAACTTTATATTTAAAAAACAAGCCAGAGATGAAGAATTTCAACATCCAGCAAAAAAAAAAAATAAAATTATTTGGTTGCAGAGTTCAAGCCAGAGAGTTCTGTGCTGATGGAGTTGTTTGCATAGGGTAGGTTGTTCCACTCCACTCTGCAAGTGAGAGCAATGGTTGAGGTACTTTGGTGCTTCATAAACCTTGAGATGAACTTCACATGGGTGCAAGCAGGGTAAAGCACAACAGGAGGCTTCAGCACCTCCGAGTAAAACACTGTATTATTCATAAGCTGAGGTTTTTTAAATTAAAAAAAAGTGCATTTTGGTTTAGAACCTTCAGTGATAAAAATGTGTTTTAAAATAGACAAAAGCCTAAGAAGATTGTCTCGCTCTTTCCTCCATTAGCCAGAAAAATGGAACAAAATCAAACTAGTGGTAACACAGGAAGATGTAGAACTAGCATACCAGGAAGCAATGATGAATATGGCAAGGCTGAATCGAACAGGTAAGAAGAAATGTGTCTGTTGTGGAAGGGGAAAGGACTGTGGTGGGCTTTCTTTTTTGTTCTTCCAGTTCCATACTTAATTTCATTTCACTGCCATGGAGAAATGTGACACAACTGCATTATCCCTGCTTTCTGCCACATCTTTCTGCTGTTCAGTGTTTGTGAAGCACGCAAATTAAAATCAAATGCCCTCTTTTAATTATACAGCGTCACAAATGCTGCTGGAGATGATTATGGCTCATATGAGTGTTGTGGGTAACACTGGAGTGAATTAGATTTTTTTTTAAGGGAAATGTATTGGATTTGTTCATTTGTATTTTTTGTGTCTGGAGAACTCAGGAGGACCTGACTGGTTTAAAATAAATGGAAATGGAATAAAAAAAAGAAAAGCTTTTAATTTTTGTATACTTCAATTTAACTTTTTAGATTATCACCTCTGCCATATTACGTGTTTCCCAAAGTGTAGAATGTGTGGCACCTTTTTTTTCTTTTAATTTTGGTAGGAGTAATATTTTACCATAGAAATTCTAAGGCAAGATTTCCCGTTGTTCAAAATATCTTTAGATGAGCCAAGAACAAAATTAGATGTTTCCTTTTCAGTTGAACGAATGGAGATAGTTAAATATATCTTCTATTTATTCAGATTTCATTTGGTATTTATTACATCATCCCAGTGGTTTTTCATTCTTTCACAAAGTCTTCCAGGATAAATAAATGACCATGATTGTCTTATGGAAGATAACTCAGCCCTGCTCCTGTGTTGGGACGCAACAAAGACAGGCAAAACATTCCTAGTTTTGTTTTTCTCCCCTCGCCTCTGTCAGGCCCTTCTAGCAATGCTTAGATATTCAGAACTGGAACTGTTGTCTGCATGCAGAGGTGCCTTGCTGGTGCCCAGGGCTCCGTAGTTGCAAACGCCCAAGAATGTCACCACTGCATTGATGGGGAGGTGGGGACTTCGGGCCGCCTGTGCCTGTCCATCCACCAGCTCTCCTTCCTTCCCTTGTGACCTGCAGCATTTGTTGTTAAGTTCCTCAGCTTAGTGTCCAGAACTGTAAGTGCTGGTGTAATTTATTTTTTTTTTCCTTGGTCTGTCAGGGAATGCAGATGTGGGAAAACTGATTCAGGATGAACCTTGTCCTTGCCCTTAGGGCAGAGCTGAACTCAGAACCTCTCATCCTCAACTTGGGAAAGTTTGAAACTGGAGCAAACTCCTTAATCATGGACTGCTAATATAAATTTGTAGTGCATGTCTAATAGAGCGTGCTCATAAATATAACTGCATTATTCAATTTTCAGCATCATTTAATATCTTCAATACAAATTGAATTTTGTTAAAGGCTGCATGCGGTTTTGGTGAAATTCCTGTTCCTTTCAGAAACAGGTTTGGGGTGGGCTTTTTGTTTTTTTTTTGGAGGACCTACATAGTTTATTTCAGCAGCAAGCAGAGCTGATTCACATTGAAGGTACACATTCAAACTGCATAATGTTGTTGAAACTTTGCTTTCCTCAATACTTTTTCCTGATTTTTTTTTTAAATTGTTTTTCTCCCTCTTTTGAAGCTGCTGGACTTATGCACACTTTCAATGCACATGCAGCTACGGACATCACAGGGTTTGGAATCCTGGGACATGCACAAAACCTTGCCAAGCAGCAGCGAAATGAGGTGTCCTTTGTTATTCATAACCTTCCTGTTCTTGCTAAGATGGCTGCTGTCAGTAAGGCTTGTGGCAATATGTTTGGCCTCATGCATGGGACTTGTCCAGAGACTTCAGGTAGGTGACAGTTACATCACCCTTTTCCTTCCTTTTAAATCCGTGTTAGAATATGAGAACGTATTAAATGTATCAATGCTGCACTTTGCATTCAGATTCGTGGTTGGTTTGAGTTTTAGTCAAGTTAAAGAGCATTAGCCATAGAACTGTTCACAGTCAAGTTCTTCAGTCAAATTTCCAAACTCCCATCCTGTTCCTATGAAACACTACTATAGAAACCGTTACTGTGTTTGGCATCTGGAACATTCTGCAGTTGAAAGTCAGTGATGGTTCTGAATTCTTTTGATATGCCTATTTTTCTCATAATTATTAACTCCAGAACAGTGACTACTCGAGTGCCTCAGCACAGCTGGCATGGTGTTCTCAAAAGGCCAAGCCACATGCAGTAGGTTTCCTCATCATATGAGTTGTGCTTTTATTTCTCATTATGAATGTGTGAAGTTGAGTGCTGAGTGGGCCAGTGTCAGAGGCTGAGGGAGGCCTCCTCTGTCTATGATCATGAAGAATACAGATGTTTTTCCCTTAAGCTTATGAAACCTGATGTTAGGGACGTAAGCAGAAGCAAGAAAGGAATTTAGTCTCTGACTCATTCAGTTTTTGAGCTTTCTGTTTAATAAAGCTGCCACTTGGCAGTGGCAGCGAATAGAGACAAAATGAGAATCAGGCTATGAACGTCAAGTTTGTTTCAGATGAACATTTGAAGTCTTCAGGCGATTAAAAACTTCTGATGCTGTGGTTTGAATGCTGTCTTCTTAGTAAGTGTGGGCCACTTTGCCTACTGGAATAATCACCATCTTCTGCTGAAAGTCTCTGTATTTCATTTTTCCCTCAAATCTTCTGTTCCATTGTGTTTTTCTTCTTCAGTGTCGTGTGTTCACTTTGGGAAATGAAGAAGATACAGTAACAAATCTGTCTTTTCTCTTATCTGCTTTCCCCACCCTCTTCCTGCTCTCCAAAAGTATTGTCCAAGTTCTCTGCGGTTCACGACAGAGGGGGGCCCCTTGAACCAAAGCAGTCTGAAGATCTGGAAAGAAGCATCTCAGTGAGAGCCATAAACTTTTCCCCTAGTGAATACATGACTTACCATGATCTGCTGAATTGTTCCTTAGCCATCTGTGTTTATAACAGATGCTCTGTCCTACAGAGGGTGTGTGGCTCGGATGGTGTGTAACAGGATATGGGACATGAACCCTTTGAAGAGTTCAAACCCAGCTTCAGTCAGCTGAGGCCAGAAATATGTGATGGCTGTTTGGCAAGCTGTAAATACAGTACTGTAAATACAGTTGGTACCACCAGACAGTTTCTTACTACCTACCAGTCCATGTAATCAGTGTGCAGGTAATGCTGCTGCTCGCCCTGGATGCAGGGCATTTGTTATCGGTTACAAAGAGGCTAAAAAATAGCTTAGGCGTAGAAGTTGAAAGCCAAGATGCTCTTTTGGCTAAGTGGCAGTTGGCATGGAATGGTTTAGCTGCAAACTGAGTGCCTGAATCTTAAAATTGATGACTCGTTTTGCACCCTGGGGACAAGGCTGTCATTTCACTAAAAGAGTGTAAAAACAATGCAGATGTATGCAGTGCTGCAAGAGTACTCAGAAGAGGAAAACAGCCAACTTCCAAATCCTTCTTGGGAATGAGAGCAAGAGGTGCCTTTGAAACTCTGAATTGGCTTACCTTTCAACAGAGATAGATGGTGATGAATAAAACGGCTGGTTATTTGAGAGCATTGGGCACCTCGAAAAATATATGTGGATTTCTTCGTAGCACTGGTTTCCTACATTAAAAATTATTGTGGGGATTTCTTACAGGGCAGTGTCAGCCAAATAAGAGCTGAATGTGATAGCTGTGGCCTGAAGGCTATGCAGCATACGTTGGCTCTGTGCTTAACACTGGATGGTCTGACACGTTTGCATACTTTGTGTCCCAGGGTTGATGTTCATGGAGGCAAGTGTGTGCCCTGCTGTATCTGTAGGTCTGGTTGGGAGGATGCCTTTTAGGGGGGCTTCATGCTGAAGTATATAATGTACATTTTTGCTCTGATGTCTTAAACTTCCAGAAATGCTGTAGCTTTTTCACTTGTGAACAGATGTTTTTCAGTAGAGTGGGCAGGCAGTGAGAAATGTACTGGAAAACAATTTGAACGGATTTTAAGACTTGTTTTTTTCCCAGTGCACATTTGCTGGGCACCTGTTGACAAAAGCCAGTGTTGGAAAGATCTCATGTCATCAGTTCCATCCTCCAGGAACTGCTGCTTATGATGTGCTTTCTGAAAATTCCAGTTTTACATGATTTTGTGCTCTCTTTTTGGTAACTCCTTGGTAATGGTTGAAGTTGCAGTCACGTGGTTACCTTAAAGAACCTCATTCTGTTTATCAGACTGACTGCTCACAGAAATAAGTTAGAAAACCATTCTGCATGGGATACTCTTGCGTGTATTTGTGCCAGTCCTGTTCTGCTCTTGGAGCTGGTATCAGGTGTCAGACAGCTTTGTTAGTGTAGTAGAGGTATCTCAACAATGCAGTCTTTCCATGCATCTTGTGAACATAAATGGATAGAAAAGAAGGGCTGTCACGATGAGAGAGCTGTTAGCAGAAGCAGGGAAACTTTGATTTTGATTCATGAACTGTTCATAAATCATCTCTTAATTGCAAGGCTTTGTCTAGCCTGCTTTTTTTTCCTGTGGAACCGTTCCCTGCTTGCAGTACAGCAGTTTAAAAATAGCAATATTCAAAACTTACCAAAAACCCTTACGATTTTAGAAGAGTAATCCAGAACAGATAGCAAGTATCTGCATCCTTTCCTCTCCAAAAAGAAGCATCCAATGAACTCTTAAACCACTGCAGCCGTTTGTTCTTTGTCTGCAGCCCGTTTGCTTTGTCTTCAGGAGTGGTGAATGCAGACCTCTGAAACTTGGTACAACCTGAAATACTGCATGCTTCAGTGCCTAGAGGCACTTCTGCTTCATTTTCCATAGCTGTGTTGCAGCAACTTTAACTGCTGGTGGCTGTGATGTTGCACTGGTGAAGACTTTTTGTAGTTGTGTACGGGATTTTTGCACTCAAAGCAGCTGGAAGCACAAGTCATGTAGTGGAAGCTCTTAGAACTTACCTAAAGGGTTATAGGGACTGGTCAGCCTGCCAGAGAAGTAATTGTAATTGCCACAGGCTAGAGGCCTATCATATCCTTCCTTAAGGGTTAGAGATCAAAGTGTGAGGGATAGCCAGCAGGTGGGAGGTATCTGTTTCAGCTGGAAACTGGAATTAGGTGTATTTTTCTGTTCTTGCTAAAGAATGTTAACAGGGTGGCCATACAAGTGATACAAACTTGCAGGAAGGCTGCATGGGAAAAAGATAACAAAGATTATTCTCATGCTCTTATACTTCCACTCCTCCATTCTGACTGCTTAGCACTCTGCTTATAAACTCTTAGAAACTTACAAATCTCTTCCCTGATTTACCTGCAGCAAAAGTTGGCAGAAGTCGCTCTTCAATTTGATTTAGAGCCTGTCATGGGAATGGCACATAATTTCTTTGCAATTGATTTGTCTGTTACCTGTGGAGTAATGCTGTCGTGTTTCTGCTTTTTGCTGTTAACTGGATGTTAAGTTCAGAAATCTCTGTGAGAGAGGTAGGTGTTCTTCTCAATGGCACCTCATTTGCTTCATACAGAACCAAAAGATTAACTTTCACATGTCCACATATCCTTATAAATTTTCTTGTTCAGTAGTTGCTGCTTCCCCATAGCTTGGAAAAGCAAATGTAGCAGTGCCCAAGGTTCTGAGATGCTGTCCAAGAGCCACTGGGCCACAAGACTGCAGGGAAGAGGTGGTGGCACCAAGCCCAGAGTGGCTGGCTCAGCATATGGCATTTTGTGCCCAGGGTTGGCTCAGAGTGTGCTGGCACAATTTGTGCTGCTGGTGTGCTGCCCTTCTCCAGGACAAGACTGTCAGATAGCTCACAGGCACTCTGGTGATATCAGTGTTCTAAAGAGTAAGCAAGATCTAGTGTGTGCCCAAATTCCTGCTTGGGGAAATCCAAGCTATTGATTGTATTCTCCAAAACATCTTCCAGTGGGGGATACTCAGATGTTCCTTACAAGAGGCTGCTGTCTCTTGGAATACAGCACTTTACAGATGTTGGCTGCATCAATTGCCTGTAGCACGAGACACTTGGAGGTTTAACTAGGCGCCTGTAGATGAATTTGCTGCTCTGTGTTGCAGTTCTTCACAAATTTGTAATGCAGCATAAATGGCAAGAAAGGTAAGCAGTACCAGAAATATGTAACTTTTTGTAGGAGAGGGTGACACCAAAATATTTAATGACTTGATCAGAGCCCACTGCAAATCTGTGCTAGAGCTGACAACAAATAACTCATTCTAGTATTTGTAGCAGGACAAGGGGAAATGGTTTTAAGTTGAAGGAGGGAAGATTCAGGTTGGATGTCAGGGGGAAATTCTTTAGAGAGAGTGGTGAGGTGCTGGAAGAGGCTGCCCAGAGAAGTTGTGGATGCCCCATCCCTGGAGGTGTTCAAGGCCTGGTTGGATGGGGCCCTGGGCAGCCTGGTCTGGTATTGAATGTGGAGGTTGGTGGCCCTGCATGTGGCAGGGGGTTGGAGATTCGTGATCCTTAAGGTCCCTTCCAACCCTGTGATTCTGTGATTCTATGATACTTGCAGAATCACCTTATCAGTGCTTTGGGAATATTAGAATGCAGAGGTTCTTTAATTTACTTAATAGCAACTTTTCTAACCAATTGTTGTGCTGAGAAGCATTTATAAATAGATATTTTTCTGTTGTCTCTGTAAGAAAAGATATTATGGGAAAGGCTAAAAAAGGTTAAAGGGGAACTCTCTAACAATGGGGTCAAAAAGACTGACTGTCAGAGGCAGCTCTGGATCAAGCCTGTGTTTGATTTTCTGCCTTTTACATTCTCTTGTAACAGTTTCTATTTTGATGAATGATGTCATCAAAGGCAATAAGATTACTTGCAGAATCAGCTGCCGCCAGTATGTGGTTATAGGTATCTGAACATGACCTTTATCCAGAACACTTTTGTGTGTACTTCTTGTAGAGGCACTTTGCAGTCCTCTGTTGGAAGTTTACAATGCTGGTGTTGTTTCTGATGTCACTTGTTGGCATCAGTGCGATGTCCTTTTGCCAGCCTCTTTTGTGTGTATTTGGATTTACGTACACGCCAAACACTGAATTCAGGAACAGACTTCTTTCTGTGAAGCACAGGCTCACAGGCTTCCACTGTGGCCTTTCTTGGAGTCCTGCAGTTTGACAGAACCCATGAAGTCACCGAGTGCTTGTCTGAAGAGGAATTTGGCAGATGAAGGTTGAAATTCTCTGCAAACAGACATTAAAGACGCTGCTTTTTTTCTTTGCAGGAGGTCTCCTCATCTGTTTACCACGAGAACAGGCGGCACGTTTCTGTGCCGAGATCAAGTCTCCCAAGTACGGCGAAGGTCACCAAGCGTGGATTATTGGCATTGTAGAGAAGGGCAACCGCACGGCCAGAATCATAGACAAACCACGAATCATTGAAGTTGCACCACAGGTGGCCACTCAGAACGTGAACCCAACGCCTGGTGCCACCTCTTAATAGAGATGAAATAGCTGTTTGTTTTTAAATAGATCTATTCCTTTATCATCCTACAACTTAAAGAACTGTAAAAAAAGAAAAGAAAATTTGTTGTGTCTGCACATCTGGTGGCCTTAGGTCAGTTTATGAGTGGATACAATTAATGAAATAAAATCCATTGCCTTTTTTTCCTGTTACATTAACTGAAGATGCACCTAATCTTGAGGCAGCTTCTGAGTTGAGAATTATATTGTTATCCAATACTGTTGATTCATTTTGAATCTTTAGACACTTATCTCTTGCCGCATAGGCTCTTTTTAAAGGTGCTTTCACGTAGCACAGACATTACCAGTAGTAGTGTCAAACAGCATCGTGTCCTTTCATTATGTGTATATTTATCATAGGTCTAATTTGGATGCCTTGAGTGATATTCCAGAAAGGCAATAAATTTGATAAGCGACACAGTGGGTATACCCAGTAGTAAGAGGGTTGCATGACTACATTCAATCTTTGATTTTTATTTTTATTTTGTAAGGTTTAGTCTTACCAAGAGCATCTATGACCCTGGACATTGCTTGGTGTAGTGCACTCTGTTGAAACGAGCAAGTGCTGACTTTGCATGGAAATAGCTTCAGAGTCGAAGGAGTCATTTTTAATTTCATTATTTGTAGACCTGACAACATTTACTGTATTATCAATGATTTTTCTTTATTGATGGTAAGGAAAAAAATCATTTTTTTGCAATGTGATTGGATGTGCTATAGTGCAACAAAGGTTTTGCAGACCAAAAGGAGGTTACTGTATAATATTCATTTACAATTCACTATATAAATAACTTCACAAATAATTTTTAAATATAATCAAGCTAAAATAAACCTCTGTTCTGTGGATGGTAGTGTTTAATACATTTTATATTTTGTATAGTGATTACAAGCCTTTTTTGTTTCTTTAAAATCAGCAGCTGTTTAGTATAATTCTTAGTATTATTTTGTTCTTTGCTCAAATACATTTTTGTGCACGCTTTTGTGATCTGTGTTTAAAATCTACATTGCCAACATTGCAGCTTGAACTTTAGCTTGTTATTCAAAATAAATATTTAATTTTTTTTATTGCTCTTGTATAAAAGCATGAACTTTTTTGATTCCTGCCTGAATTACAAAGTGGAAAGAGGAGAAGTCCTCCTTTTTTTTTAAAAAAAAAATTATTTTATTGCAAGTGTAATGAAATCAATTGTTGCTGTTACTCCTTTGGTTGATTCTGCAAGCTGTGATGTCCCATGGTAATCTAGAATATCTCCTGCACATCAGGATGGGGGCAGATAGGTTATCTCCAAATCTGTTTTCCGCTTTGTTTTGTTTATTTCGGTTGTCAGCACAGCACATGCAATGATTTTGGATTCTTTCCTCTGCAAGTCTCCTAGCTGTGCCTCCTCCAACCTGAGCAAGAGTTTGTGAGCAGCCCTGTGAATCGAAGGAGTGCTGAACCCATCCTTCCTCTGAGGGTTTGTTGAGCTGCCTGGTTGTAGCACATTCACTGCTAACTCTGCTCTGCCAACCCACAGGAGCCAAGGCATACCATGCAATTCTTCACCATTACGGAACTGAGTGCATTTCATGGAATCAGCTCTTTTACAAAGTCTCCCAGATTGTGGAATTAGCTCCTTGATATTCAGACCAGGAAGAAGAGAACAGCTGATAATCAATACCACTACCAGCAAGAACAGCAAGGGCTTCTGTCTATGACAAATGACTCCCTGCAGGTGAATCTGTCTTGTGCATCAAGCAAGGCTTAAATTTTCAGTTTTGGTCCTGGTGACACCTGGGGCAAAACATGGCTCATCTTTTTTCATTCAGTAGTATTCTCAACAGACTCCTTGTAAAGAGTTAGAATTCTTTTTTTTTTCTTTTGTGAGTAATGTGAAACAATTAGAACATCACTCTTCTTCTCCTGGAAAACAGGTCTGTAAGTTTTATGTTCACAACACAGCCTCAAAGCAGTAACTGAATTTTTGACTTTGCTGCTCTGGGAAGATAACTCTGAAGAGTTTTCACAGCAGTTCTGAACACCAAAATAAAGCATCAAAACTGGTTATCTATGCAAAAAAGTCATTATTTATTTTTTATTCCCTGCAGTTTTTGAAGTTCTATATTCTGATACAAAGTCATGTAGCTGGGCTTCTGTTCTTTGTGGTCAAGGAGATGGCTGTCACTGTGGATTACTTTGTAAGATTTAAAGAAAAGAAGATAAATGTGTACAGAGTGGTCAGTGCTGTGTGGAAGCATTTGTTACAAAGATTGGGTGTGTTTTAAACAAGGCAGGAAAATGTACTGGGTTTTAGATAACTGCTTTTCAGACGTTATGTGATAAGTTGCCATCAGGTGTGAAACCAACTCTTCTTTTTCCAAACATGCTTTGAAAGGCTTTGAAGCTTATCTGCAAGGGTGAGGGTGCGTGGAGGAGGGCTGCTTCACGAGCAAGGTAAGTGAACATTCACATCAATCACATCAATCGAGTTCTTGTGTTACTAAAACCTTTTTGGGGCAATTTTTTTTTTTGTCTTTTGGTCTGGATGTTCTGTGAAAATTTCACATTGCAGCTGCTGTGCAAAAGCATTTCCAGGTGAAATGCCAGCCAAAGCCTCTCTTTTCTGATGGCAGGAATTTGCATACTAAAGTGCTTCCTGGCTCTAGGCAGCTGAGGTGTGGTATTATCTCTGGTCAGAGCTGGTATGAGTATTTCTGAATGTGCCACTCAATTTAGAGTGAATGATGATGTTTTCTAAGTCTGCTGTTATCGCTGCTGTATCAGATAAGGACTGCTGTGATTTGTGTAAGAACTTTCATTTGCTAAATAAAAGACTGTAGGTTAGGCCTGAGCTATAGGGTGATGAATAGTACTGCGTATGAAGAGGGCTAGCAAGTTCAAGGCTTTAAACAATCAGTAGATACTTCCAGTACTTTGATACCTTTCTAAATAGAGTTTTTTGAGGCTCTGGCATCAAAAAAAGCCATGAGAAATAGAACTTTGCTTAGCTTTTTGCAGACACAGAAATGTAATGTGCTTTCATTTATGTACGCAGGTATCTGCACGCACCAACTTCTGTAACAGTCTTGCTGAGAAGGTGACTTGCAGAACTCCATCGAAGTTGTGAGAACAGGAGAGAGTGAAAAGGAAGAATTTTGATAGTTGGAAAACTCACCAGTCTGAACAATACCATTGATAAGTAGCATGTATTCATAGAGAGGAGCATCTTTTAGAATCTCTAATGTGTTGATTTCCTCAGCTTTTTCCTTTTCTCCTGCATAAGAGGAAAATAACACTCTGAAATTACCTACAGCATATAAATTTGGATTTTTTTTTTTTTTTAAGGTATTCTTTTTGAACTGAAGTTTTGCTAGTAATTGAGGACTGACCAACTGTTTTCTGCTTGGGAGATGTGAAAGTTACTTTGAATGGGTGCCCACCCACAGTGCAGAAGCTGGGGCCAGCTGTAATCCTCGGTGTATTTCTCACGCTTGAGAGTCGCTGAGCTGCAGTGCCTCGGTGTGTGGGTAGGGGTTGCCCTAAGCTTGAAGTTTCAGCTGGAGCCAGGATCTGAAGGCAGGCTGTTGCTTCTGCAGAAGGCAGTGTTGTTTCCTTCAGTTGCCTAAGATGTGTTGAAGCTAATGCTGACCTTAGTGCTTTTGTTTGCCATGTTGGCATACTTTTAAGATACGAGAACGCTGTTGCCCCAACATCCAACCTTGAAAGAGGGAGATATGGTAACAACAGGAAAACAATCCTGATATTTCTAAGGTAAAAATTTGTCTTCAGACACGCATTCTTTATTAAAAGGAATTTGGTATGCAGCAGATGTCTTGCAGTCTCCTGGCCCAAAGCAAGGACAGCCCCGAGGTCACACTAGGTTGCTCAGGCCTGTGTGCAGTGCAGTATCTCCAATCGTGGTCATTTCTCATCCTCTCCATACCCCCTTTTCCAGTGTTTGACCATTCCCATTCTGCATAGTTTTCTCCTTGCGTCTAGCAGGAAGTTTCTTTGCTGTGGTTTGTGCCTATTGTCTCTTAGTTTTACTGCAAATCTTCAGAAAGTGGCTTTCTTCTCTCTGTCCCCTACTAAGTGCCTGCAGACAACTATAGGATCTTCTTCCAGGTGAATATTTTCTCAGCCTTTCCTTGTGCACCATATACACAAGCCCCATCCTTTTGATGGACTTACATCCATCCTTCCACTGGACTTGATTCACTGCTTTCCCTGTACTAGGGAGCACAGAACCAGACACAGTGATGATGCAGTCTTGCAGGTGCCTACTGGAAGGAAGGATTTGCTTCCTTTGGTTCTCTGGCTGTACTCTCACTAATGCAGTTGGCCCTTTCCAACCCCATGGCAGTGGTGGTGGACTAGATGATCTTTAAAAATGACTTTCAAACAACTCACTAATTGCAGGTGTACACTGATTGCTCATATTTAGCTCATCTATTGAGACTTCTGCAAAGCTGCTGTGTAGCCAGCTGCATTTTGTACTGCTGAGTGCAGCCCTTTGAGCCCAGCAGCTCAACTAATTTTCCACCAATTTTTAAGAGTCTGCCTGTCCCAACAGGGCAAAAACCTTCCAATTGTCAAAGTAAGCACTGCCTACCCTAGTGCAAGGAGCTGTTTTGTCACAGCTGTTCTCACAGATGGTGAGATTAGTCAGGCCCAACTTGCCTACGTTACCAAAGTTAATCTGCACAGGTTTTTCCCAGTCATCTTGTCCTTACCTGAACATGGCAAATCCAAGAGAACTTATCCTCAATCTTTTTGGAGATTGAGGTATAGCTTGTAGTTTCCCTTGCCCTTTATAAAGGCAAGTATGGCATTTACCTTTTTGCAGTCATCATGAGACTCTCATGGCAGCAGGAGAGAAAGCTTTATGGTCGTATTGTCTCCTACTAATACATCCATGATCTGAGAATATCCAGTTTGCTTAACTGGTCCCTTACTCAGTCTTCTGCAGCACAGGTGATGCTTTGTGTTCTGGAATCTCATTGCTTGGCTTAGGAACCTAGGAAGCCAGAGGACAGACCATGCCAGCAATGCCCAAGGCAGGAAAGGTATCAGGTCCCTTGACTTTTTCCACGCCCTTTTTTTCTAGCCTCCCTCTAGTTATTCTATGCAGGGTCCACATTTTCTTTTGTCTCCCTTCTCCTGCTAATGTGTCTGCAAAAGCCCTTCTTGAAGCTTCTGATGATGAAAAGTGAACTTATGTGTTGGTGGCAAATTCGGTGTTACTGCCTCATCTACATCTGTTTTCCTTCACATCGAAGTTTAAAAGGCTCATTTTGCTGAATTGCAGCAGCTGCCACTTCCCACTGCAGTAAATTAGGCTTTCAGAAGACCTCATCTTTGGAATTATAGTTCTGATCATAGTGTGGATTTTAATAGTCAGTTGAGATGCTTATTAAGTTATAATGCTATGCATTAGAACCATCTCAGTACTGCCATAGAAATTTTGATTGTTTCGTTTTTATTAGTTCTGTGATTTAATGAAGAGAAAACATTAAAACTAAAAGCCAAATGCAAAACAGCTGTATAAAAGTGTTCTATAAAACTTGGTAAACTGACAGACATAGCACTAAAAATATTTGCAAAGACACAGCTGCTGTTAAATGCCATTGGTTTTAATAAAAATACAAATGTCATCATCGGTTATCTTAACAGAGAATCTCCTCCTTGCTTCTTCTCGTAGGTTCATGACATTCAGTCTGTAGTTCAGTGAAGCATATCAGTGGGTCTGGAAATGATTTGCTCTGTAACGTTCTTTTTAAGTTACTGAATAAAATAGAACTTTTTTTTTTTTTTTTTTTTTTTCAGTTAAACAGAGTATAGATAGAACAAAATGAACAGTTCTCTAGTTTTAGAGTTTGTGAATGCAGGAGTCTTGCCACGTGTGTCACAGTGTGTTTCTCAGCACTGCAGCAGGGTGGTGGCAATGCCCGAAATCAGTCTTACCTTATTCAAACACATACAAAGTATGTGTTTGAAGAGGTTGTGGACTGTGTTAATGTGATGGTACAAACAAAGGGTGGTAACCCCAACCACCCATTCCCCTGGACCCAGTTGGATAAGGCCT